AGTAAAAGTACTGCCATATATGATTATTACATATGTCGTTGATAGAGCTTCACATCTTAAATTGTCACATCATCACTATCAACTGAAACATTTTTACTTTGTCTTCTTTGATTTGTTGCTAGAAGCGGAAAATCTTCAACTGTATATAGTGGTAAATGGGACTAATTTTACAGGAAGTGCTTTTTCTTATATTGATTTTAAGAAGATTTTTGTTAAGACAAGTTATGAACCTGGAAATGGTATGCCTCTTAGAGCTCCCTAGAGGATGAGCTTTTGGGAAATTAAGAATCTATTACATACAGTACGTAACAGATTTAATATCGCTTGAATCTAAAATTGCTTTATTTCAGACTTTGGAAGCGAAAAGCGTTGATGGTTTATGGCAGTGGGTTTTAAGATTACCATAATTGGCTTAAAAGCTCGTGTAAGTGCTGCCATTTAACCGTGAGGGTCTTGCGAACACTTACTAATGATTACCGTTACTAATGATTACTATAAAGTCCCACATTTTCCACTGCATGAATCGGGATATCATTTAAGCTATTGTAAAATGTTTGTAAAGGATCTGTTTTTCTGGTACACTTTCATATAAGAAGCATATTTGTTACAAATGTAAACGTATATATTAATAGCAAACTTACGTAAACGTACATTTATGTTTCAAAACCTGCTATTTTGGGAAGGGTTTAGACATAGTTTTGTGTCATATTACCTAAAGCATTTGATTAGTAACAGTTGTTGCTACCTCGTCATATATAAACGATGCAAGGAGTTATGATATGTGAGGGCACAATAAAATGCTCCGACCTTTCTTATTCACAAAAAGGAAAAAAAAACAAAGTAAAAATTATAAAAAGAAAAAGAAAGAAAAAAAATTATAAAAAAAATGAAAGGAATAAAACTCTCTTTTTGTTGTTGTTTACTGTTTATTTCATTTATTTGTGACACATCTGTTATTCGTTGAGGCAGATCAGATAGCCATGGGACATACGCGAGACAAACTTTGCTTCTATTCATACTCACTAAAAAGAAAAAAAATTAATTATTATTTCATAAGTAAAATCTACCTTTCATTATGACATTCATTGATCTACAGTGCCCCAAAAAAAGGAAATATTCTGGATTACTTATGATCTATTGATTAGAATGACCTGTGATAGGGATTAATCTTAATGATTCGAGCGACTAACGCTAAATACGCTCTAAATCTGTGTAGACAATGCTTTAAGCTAAGAAAGGCGCAAAAGTGTATTTTTCTGAATAAGCAAAATGATGGATTCGGATGTATTTTTGATGGATTCAGATTTTTGACACTCAAAAATATTTGTTGCGAGGATCTGTCGCAAACTGAAAGTCGTGAAATAGAAAAGTCGTATTTTAAAATTTTTATTTTACAAAGATTGTTTAATTTATTCCTTTCAAATTTTACATTTTGTCATTTAAAATAATTTAAAATAATATTAAATGGGGTGAAAGTTTGTATACCGTGAATTCAGTTCATTATTAAAATAAATTTAAAAAAACTTGATTGTAGAGATTTTTTTTTCAACGAGATATTCTTGGCTGAACATGTTTAATCTGAATCCGCTGAACTATTTGTTCAGGAAAGGTTTCTGATTTCGTAAATAAAAATATTGTCTGTCTTAACTAATTAAATTATTCAAGGTAATGTTATCGAACGATTAAGATTGTAATCTATAACGGGTAAATCCGATTATTAGAACAAAATTTAGTCAGCTCGTCCTCGTTTTTTAACACATACGCGAAATATCAAATAAGTTTCGATTGTAATATTGTTATGGCTTAAGATTTTTTTCTCGCTGAAAATGTGTCTACTTGTCTTATAAGAATTTTCTGTAAACGTGTATCATACGACTTTTCCGTACGTAAGAATTGAAGTAACTGACAGTGTTAGTGAAGTGAGCATGTACCAATAAAAACTAGCACACTGATCTCTATATGCATACTGGATATACCAAAACAATAGAATTTGCTAACTCCCCCAGTTTAGGCTTATGAGTTGTCATTAATGTCAATGGGCGTGATTGGACCCTTAAAATATATTTTAAAATTGTTGAATCTTCTTAATTAAAACAAACAAGTTTATAGGAAATTCTTTTCTCGAAATTGATGAATATTGACACTGTCAAAGAAATTATGGTTATTTTTTACTTATTATTTATAAATTTTGTCTACTTTTTTTATTGTTCTCTCCAAGAATCATGAGGTTAGCATATGAACAAAACGCCTTACATTTCTCCCTCTACTAGGATGGGGTGGAAAAAAAATAAAGAAAACGTGAAGCTTTTTCGGTTTGGATTAAACAAATGTGTATTTAGTTTCTTTTTGGGGGGGGGGATTGAAAAATTTTTCTTCTTGAATTTAAACAACTATTTAGTTACACTACTTTACATTTTTCTTTATTTTATACTTTGCGATGAACTTTACTTTATACTTTACGTTTTACTTTACTTTCCATTTTACTTGCCCTGTCTTTACTATTTACTTTATATAACTTTTTTTTTTAATTTTATATTTCCCACTTTACTTTGTGTTATATTTTACACTTTATTTTATACTGTACGCCTTACTTGCATTATATTTTACGCTTCATTTTACTTTATATTTTACGTTTTACTTCTTATTTTACTCTTTACTTTGATTTATGCTTTATTTTACTTTATTTTCAACTTTACACTTTATTTTATGTATACTTTGCTTTATACTTTACACTATACTTTATATAATATGACTTACTTTACACTTTACTTGACTTTGCATAATTTTCACTTTGTATTTTAAATTTTACACTCTACTTTATATTTTGCACTTTATTCTTTACGCTTTAAGTTATTCTTTGCAATATACTTTACGCTTGACAATACTCTGCATTCTACTTAAGAATTTGTAGTTTAGTTTTACTTCAAATTCTTCGCATTACTTTATCTTATACTTCACGCTTTACTTCCGATACGCTTTATTTTACTTTTTGCTTCATTTGCACTTTATTTTGCTTTAATTTATTATTTACTTTATAAGCTTTCTGATTTATCGTTTATGCTTTACTTTATATTTTACGCTTTACACCATGCTTTATTTTACTTTACTTCGCAAGAGTAATGTTCCAATAACTAATTAAGCAACTGATAACGCACAACAATATGCACTCAAGAAATAACGGACAGATGATTTAAAGGTAAAAATTATGATGCCAATGAAAGAGTGATAATGCTGGATACCCTATATGCTCTAACTCACCGCTGTTCTCCGCCAAAGCCGGCATCAAGTTCGAATCATTGAATCAGCAATCCAGTACATAAAAGAGATCTGTGGTGCAAACCTACGTGAACAAAAATGGTTAAAAACGCTACTGTAACGAGTGAAAAGAAATCATCGAAGACAACGATTTTACTTGTTTTATGCGAATTGGAATATTACAAATTAATTAATGTTGAACGATGAACGATTTAAACTAAACTAAAGATGAGAACTAACTAAAGATGAACGATTTTGTGGAAGATTTATCCCAAAATCAATTTCGTTCATTACTTGAAGAGGAGTATACAACATAGTTCTAATTAATTTTTTTAATAATGCGCATATAAACAACGAAATATGTATTTATCAATTAAAAAAGAAAACGGTTTCTTTTTTGGGTGAAATATATATTACATGGACGAAAAAGAAACATTATTTTCTACAAGTAGCAGTGATTTGAGCAAAAGTTATTTAACATGTTATGTTTGTTTGTGTTATTAAAATTATTATGTTATTAAACAAGATTTTTTAAAAGGTGATATTTTCCTATTCTAAAAGCATATATATTGCAAATTAAGAATGGCAACAGCGGTTATGTTTAGTTTGTTTTGTGATATAAAAAATTGTAGAACGTCGATATGAAATGTACATGAATACAGTAAGCTATGAGAGCACTTATAATATCAATTAATATTTGTTTTCTATAAAGAATTTATTATTGTTAAATTATAAACTAATAAACTATAATTATAAACTATTGTTAAATTATAAACCACATAAGAAGTCAGCAAAAATAAAAACACCAATACAAGTATTATGTACATATATTATTGAAAAAGTATATTTTTGAGTAAAATGCACATTGAAAGCGACTTTAACTGATTTGTACATTATATAGAAATGCACAAAAACTCAAAAAATATCAATAAATTACTGCTAACTTAATTGAATATTTTAATATATATATAATTAATAACAATGTATGCATTTAGTTTTTAATTGTATTTAAATAAGTGTCTCTTAAGTTCTTTCGTGTGTGTTACCGATTTCTTTCAACAACTACAAACAACAGCGTGTAAAGAGTAATTTTTTACCTCGCATAACTCAAATGTCTAAGAGTGAAGTCGTCACCCAATACCATTTTAAATATAATATTTACGGTATTTTATATTCTAAACTTTTTTTCCGTCAAAATTATACCAATGCAATTCTGAAATTCGCAGTTTTTGAAAAGTTGTTAAATAGTATGGAGCTGCGTGTTTTTCGATTTTTGAATAGTGTCTTTGTTTTTGTGCAATTAACGTAAAAACGTTTTTTTAGCCTCATTCAAAATGTATTTCAAGGTTTAAATTATAATGATATTAAATTTAAAAATAATTAAAACAAAATCTAATAGGTGTCGAATGTACAATTACACTAAAATACAAATTGTATAAGAATATCTAAAAACACTTCTTTCCAGATTTAATAAAGCAGCATCTTTATTTCCTACTTTATTTAAAAGAGGTATTGAGTTGTTGAATAATACTACTTCATGAAAAGCTTTAAAACTTTTTTTAGTACACAAAATATCAAAGAACCTCAATTTAAATATTTAGCCAAAAATCCAAGATGACAAAGACAGGCGTCATTTAAGCTAACATCTTTATCAGCATGGTTATAGCTCTATGATGCTAACCAAGCCCACGAAAATTAAAGATAACGGAGGATCGGAAAAAAGGAATAAAAAACGAGTACTTTAATACTTACGTACGCGAGCAATCGTGATGATATGTAAAATTGCGCTCTCTCCCTAATAATAGAATTTTGTTCTAAAAAAAATTAATTATTTTTCACAAGAAAAATAGCGCTCTTTCTCTAACAATAGAATTTTGTTCTACAAAAATGAATTATTTTCACAAATAAAATTGCGCTCTTTCCCTAACAATAGAATTTTGTTCTACAAAAATGAATTATTTTTTACAAGTAAATTTTTTGAAGTCTTTCCCTAACAACAGAATTTTGTTCTACAAAAATGAATTATTTTTCTTAAGTAAAACATGCAATATCATTAATGATGTTTTTTTTTCGCAATAGCATCGTGCAATATAATAATTATTTTTCAGGATTAAAATTTTTTATACCTTGCAAGCTTACATTTAAATTAAATATTAATTGCTGCATCATTTAAATAAAAAATGATTTCGTCTCATTTTTCGAAAAACGAAATAAATTATCACTAAGCTGAAAAAAATGGAACGTTATATTTAAGCAGAAACCTTTTAATTAGCGTGTATTAAGACTGCCTTACATGATGTTTTTCTTCATTTTGTTTTGATTATCTTTTTGTTTTGATTATTTGATTGATTTCTTTTTGTTTTCATTATCAACACTGATAAATGTCAACATTTATCAGTGTTGAAATTTATTAGGAGGTAGATGTAAGAATTACTCTTTTTCAATACCTTTTGCAGCAAATCATGATAGTACAGACGAAGATAATGAGGGCAAATATCGCAGATTCAATGTAAGTGGCAATTCTCCATCCACTAGTTACATTCACTGTAAAGAAAAGGAAAAATCTATCAAACGCTGTTTGTGTTATTAAGCAAAATTATCATTTTAAATTGGAGATTAGATTTTTTCCATTGGCACAATAAATTTTTATTGAATTTTTTTTTTAATGGCGGGCACTTGGAACTATTGTCCATTGGCCACAGAAAGTGCCAGAACTGCTAACTCTCTTTTCGTTACCCAGTGGGCACCTGTGGCGAAGCCACGGCTGTGGAGCAGCGTCGCCCACGTCACACTACCACAACCCGTTTATAGGACGGGTCACATTCACACGCAAAGGAGAAAGGACATAGAACACAGACAGAGAGAAAGAAACATCTATGCCTTGCCCGTGATTCGAAACCAGAACCTTTCTGATGCAAGGACAGTTCCCTGCCCCCTACACAGGCCAGACGACTTATTATTGAAAATGGAATGTCAGGTTTGAAATTTAAAAAAAATGAAAGGCATTTTATATTTTTATAAATTTGTTTATTTATTTTATCGTGGTGAGCGCTTTTTCACCTGAAACACCTGAACATGGTGCACTAGTGTTAATTATTTTATTTTACAGCCATCGTTGAACAGTCGACCCAATTTTAGGGTTTACGACTACTAATGTTCAACTCTGTAGCCTTGTAATTTTGAACCCCATCTAAAAGGCTAAGGAACTCCTGGACCAAATGTTAGGAGAAATTTGCCTTCATGGAGGACTTTTGATGAAACTAACCCACATTTGCGTTACATGAAGAAAAAACCATGAAAACCACCCGTGGTTAATCTGACCCATGACCCGTCTACCACTGAGGACATTCTACTTCAGCACTGTGGTCGATGCAACCCGGATGCGGAATTCGTATTGACCAGCCATTACTGAGATTCGAACATGGTTGACCTCATTGGAAGGTGAATGCTCTATCCTCTTAACCATCACGGCTCACTTGCATTAATCATTAAATTTCACCAATTATATTAAATTTTCAAGACTCCTCTATATTATTTTTAAATTGTTTTAAATTGTTAGAGGGGGCATAAATCGTCTTACTATTGGCTATATAATGACTATTAATGACTATAATGTTTTTAATTAGTTGAAATTATTTCTTAGCGAATGGCAATGTCGACATACATTACAAAAACAAACTTAAGATATTTAGAAGAATTGTTGAAGATATTTTAACTCGCTGATATAATGTTTCAACACAAAACTATTAGGGATATTTCCGTATCGTGATCTGTCGCGCCAACTACAATCGTCAAGGTGCCAAATCGATTTTAAGCATGCAAATTCAAAAAAAAAAAAAAAAAACATGTAGATGTTTGCCTAGGGGTGGCAACGAATTATATCTTTTAAGTTGGTCTCTTTCTGTGATGTTTCTTTTTTAGTTTCTTGCCGGCCAAAACTTGGCGATTATTCTGCCACAGATCACGATGCGGAAATCTCTCCAAACTATTTTAAGATATACAATTCTTAAAAATTGATGTTGAATAGAGTATAGAGGTGCCAGTAAATTCTTGCATCAAAGTTGACTGAATCAAAAAAGAAATACTAGTTATAAAATATAACACACTGTACAAATCAACATCTTTGAAAATTATTATTAATAAATCAAGCGAAATTTTAATTAAGAGGAATCTAAAATAAATAGGAGGTAAAATTATAATTAACTTACATTCGCATTTACCATAGTTAATTATGTACCCCTCTCTACAAGTGCACACCTTCGAGAATCCATCGAAATGGCATCCTTCTGCATTATATCCACAATCACATCCTGTCAGAAATAAATAGCAGAATTGATAATATTTAAGGAGGAGGGGGCCTCTTTGGGAAAGGCCCTATTGGTTATTGAAAAATGGACAGAAATGAACAATATGAAGGTCAACCTAGATAAGACATTTGTAGTGTCTTTTTCTCTCATGCACTAACCTTCTTATCCAAAAATTTATTACAAAGGTCGTCAGATACCATCGTCTGACAACTTTAAATACCTGGGCGGAGTCTTTGATAGAAAACTCTCATGGAGATCTCATATAGAGAACACAATCCGACGTGCTCTGAAAAGGCTCAATCTTCTAAACATTTTGGCGGGCTCAAAATGGGGCTGCTCAAGAGGCACCTTGAATTTTACATACAAAACGTATACACCGAAGAGCCATTACATTATGACCACCATTCATTTATAACTATGGGCTCGCCCAGGTTTTCAGGCCAAGGAACAATGTTTTCATGGGGCACATTAGGACCCATAATCCTCATAGAACAATTCCTGACGTCTGTGAGCTACTTGAACATAGTTGCAGACCAGGTTCACCCGTTCATGGCTACAGTTTTTCCTGCGGGGGATGGTGTTTACCAACAGGATAATGCACCATGTCATAACAGTCGAATAGTCGAGGAACATTCCAGTGACTTTCAAGTCATGTCTTTTCATGCCCAAATTCACCTGACCTTAATCCAATAGAGCATTTGTGGTCCTACTTGGAAAACCAAATTGGTGCCGCCACGCTACCCCCTCGCAATGTGAGGGAATTGCAGGACCAGTTGGTGAGCGCTTGGTACCAGATACCTCAGACTACCAATCAGCATCTTGTGAAATCAATGCCACGGCGGGTGCTAGCAGTTTTGAGGGCTAAAGGTGGTCCTACATGTTATTAGCAGGGTGGTCATAATGTAATGGCTCATCGGTGTATATTACCCATTCTTCTCTACTGTTGCGAGCAGCTGATCACAGTATCAGATCAAGTTCTTAACATTCTTGATATTTTTCAAAACCAGGCCCCCTGCGTTTGATAACGGGAGCTGTGACGACTACTTCCATTGACTGTATGTTACTCAGTACGGACAACAGACCTTTCGAGTTGATAATAGAGGAAAGAGTCCTCCTCCTCTGGGAGAGAATAATTAGAACTCCCGGGTGTCTGTCCTTGTGGAACCAGAATTTTTCAGTCCGTGAGAGAAACTTAAAAGCACAAAAGAGATTTCTGAAGCGAGTTACTGATATTATATCTAAGTTAGATTTGAATTTTGAGATTGAACATTTCCTCCCATCAATCCCATTGTTGACAGGGGATTTTTTATCCTCCTTGATTTGATGAAGGATGTCTCAAAGGCGGAGATTACTGGTATAGTTTTAAGAGCTCTCCCTTTCGAAATATTGAAATCCTTTTACCCCGAGGAAGAATGGTTGAGAATATGTACTAACAGTTCTAAAATGAATGATTGTGTTAACGCTGGTGCTGGTTTTTTCTGTGAACTTTTCTATCTGTATACTCCCATCGGCATATATAGATCAGCTTTTGATGGCGAGATTGAGGCCATTTACCAGGCCTTGTCACAACTTCGGCCTCTATTAGACTCCTTCTCAAAAGCTGTAATATTATCTGACTCAAAGGCTGCACTTCAAGAAATTAATGCTCCCAGCCGCTCTCGAACTTTAACCATCGATAATTGCTCAAATCTCCTCAAATGGTTTGCCAGTAATAACAAGATAATGGCTCTCCAGTGGATTCCGGCCCACTGTGGAATCCAGGGAAACGAGACTGCTGATCTCCTGGCAAAAAAGGGAGCCTCTGTTCTACAGAGATTTAATTCTAGACTACCTTTCTATAATCTCAAAAGTCTCATAAAGAACATCTTCAGAGCCTCTTTTCACGAGGAACTCAAAAATCGTAATTCCAATAAGCCATGGCTTAAACAGATTCTAAATGTCCCTCAGTGGCCTAATCTGTTGCCATGTTTAATATGCCATTGGAAATAAAAAAAAAAACAATTTAATGAGGGATGGTAAAAAAAATGAATTTTTGAATAACAATTCAAAGTTTGTTATTGACTCTGATTGACTAAGAAATGCAATTAAATTTTATTGCAATAAATTAAAGTAAAAGCGCTTCAGTCAAGGTAGGCGTGTTCAAATCGCGTCTGATTTATTAACAATGAGGGTGTAGACAGACTAGCGACGATGTTAACCGTCATTTATTAAAAAGCTCGTCAAGAAAGAATTGAGTTAGCTTGTCTTATATACTAGTAAATTGGAATTTAATAGTTAAAGTGGTAACACGCTGCACATCGAAATACTAAAAATTGATTAATCTTACTCTAACATCTCGCGAGAATTATTTTCACTTCCGAAAACATCGATGTTAGCGCGATTTGACTGTAAGAAATTCCAGAAATGCCTAATAGAATATCTCATGTAGTTATTTTACATTCTGGAATGAGCTGGCGTGGCAGGAATATTTCGATTTTTAACACTGTTATTCGTGAATCGAAAATAAAATGCTCCGCTACATCTGCAGGTCTGTTTTTAGTTGTGGATGATTTTATTTTAATTTTAAAATCTCTGAGAATTTAAAATAAAAATAAAATTATCCGTATTATCCGATTTCATATTAACCGAATCTCTCGTATCAACCGAAATCTCTTGTAATAACCGATTTTATTATGTATAATTTCTACCCTCTTCCGTCTAGCTCGAATTTGCATTAAAATTCTCTCTGTGATGCGCGTCTGATATTTAAAAAATTAGTTTACATATTCATTTTCTGAATTGATGATTTTTGCTTCATATTGTGCTGTAAAAATAACTTTTAGAACTGACTTTTGTATATATCTTATTGTAATTGAAAATTTTAGTTTCATTGAAAAACAAAAATGGTGGAGGCTATTTTACCCAATGTAGTGTGAAAGAACATTGTAGTGAAACACTAGATGCAAGAGTTATGCACGGCCTCTGATCACACTGGTGTAAAGTAGTTGCTACCTGTTATTTCCAATCCCAGCTGGGATAGCGGAGCTATACCAAATCCTGGAGGCCGTGAGTCTTCAAAAAATCGAGGAAAAGGAGAGGTCTCACAAGAACCTCTTCCATGGTGAAATCCAGGCAATTAAGTAGATGGTGAGGACTAGCCTTGCTGGAGTTGCACTTCTTACAAGTTGGAAAAAGTTTAATTTGTCCATTGAAATTTATGCTCTTAGTATGCCCACTGACAAATCTACAGGTAGCGGTTTGGTCGGCACGTGTACCCTGAAGGTCAAGGGCTCCTCCAGGACGCTTGCGGAGATACCAATTGTGATCCGGTGGAACAAGCCAAGCTTTATTAACCTTAGATTTGCGGATAGAAAATAATTCAGAGTAAGTGAGGGCCGTGTTTATTTGCTACCTTATTTGGTGCTAACACACTGAAATATTTTTACTGTGTATATTTGGTTCTTGGTAAAGTGGTACTCCTAGATCCTAGAGATGTTGTTCCGCTACACTATATAGGTTTAATGTAGTTGACAGAATTTTTGAAGTTGAGGTACATTGAAATTTTTTTACAGTGTACCATGTCAGAAATGTTGCAACTTTGTATTATATTTAAAAATACATATAATATTGATGTTTCATTAAAATATTTAGGTTAAAAATTTTTTTTAAAGCCAGATGCGTCGATATAAAGTGATTATACATATAGAATCTCACCAAAACTTTTCTTTGAACCACCAAATAAAAAAGAAACAAATAGGAACGGGATTTTTTTTTCCATCCCAAATTAATTACGATACACATAAGATCAGATAACCACAATAGAGTCATACTTACTTACACATTCATTGTAAGCATTTTGAGCATAATTTGACTCACATAAACACTTCCTTTTATTATTTTCGAAGGTGCATGAGATAGCTAGGATTCCACAATAACAGTCTGTTGAAAAAAATGAAAACAGATTATTATTTATTTTTTTACCATTCTTTCAACGTATTTGCTTCGACACATTACGACGAGCTCAAAATTTTCACACTGATGTATAGGAAGGCCTAAATCATACCACTTATCACGTGACAATTTGAAATATTTAAAATATCTAAGTATTTAATATACATTTGAAATATTTAAACAAGGAAAAATAGTTATTCAGCTACTTGTTTCATTTTTTGGCGATAATAATTGTGTAGAAAACACTGAAAACGATTTGGAAAACGATTTGTGTAGAAAATACTGGTACGATTCAGGAAACCGTTTGCCTAGTTCGTACAATCTTCTCCTTAAATCATACTAATAAAAAAAAAATAACGAGTTATTGTGATAAAGTTAATACGTAGACCATATGTAACCCAAAACAATTACATTTTAAAACCTACATTGGCTTGTTCTGAAGGTAATTTTACCCATTGGCAAAATGGGTGTTGTTTTCGGTTTGAAAACGTCCGCAACTTATTTGGACGTCATAGCGCTTTTCAACTGTGTTTAAGAGTAATAGTAAACAGTGCGCATACTTCATCGCTGCATGTGTTGCTATGGCGACCGCTGCTGCTTTTCTTTTTATTTTCGCTATCAATCATTTTTAATGAATTTACATAAAAATAATTCAAAGTATTTTTATATTTTTTATTATTAACTTATAATTACTGGTTTGACGGTGATTTCGTCCCGCAGTGAACTGATAGTTAAGACACGGTTCCCAGCAGATCACCGAAGTCAAGTATCACTGGTTGCGGTCAGTGTGCGGGTGGGTGACCACTTGGATCAGTCTGCGTAGGGACCGAGGTTGTGCGGTATTGGTCCTCGTTAACTTGTTCTACCGTAAAGTGCTCGACTTCGCTTGCAGGTCGTCGGGCTACCGAAGCGGGGGTGCCATCCCCTCTGCAGAGGATCAAAATTGTGATGGCATGGCTTCGGATCATCCTCAGAGATGTTTCCCAGACCGTCGCCAATAGCCCATTGTGCAGCTCTAGTGCGACGTAAATGAACAGCAAAAACAGCGGTGATTTCAATGCAAATATGAATACTGAAGAAGGAAAAGTATTTTGTGACGTCTTGAAACACGTACATAGACAGGATCTGAAAACCAATCCGACGGCTAACATCAATTGAGGCAGTTTTTGCAACCCATGATTTGAAATTTTGTGGCGTTTGATGGAGTCAGTACAGGAAGAAAAAGCATTTGACCTATGGTCAATCAGTGATCGTAATAAGGCGATCACAACTTTTTCCTTTTCCTTTTATAATTTTTTTTTGTTGCTAATAAAAATGAATGGCTATTTCTCGTAAGGAATAGATATTTTTTTGTATCATATATTGTCCATCTTTGTCCAATACCTTTTTCTATCTTTCTGGCAGTAGCATGATACCACGTGCATAAAAAATTTTGTTTATTGCAGGTAGAAAATTGAGCTATGGGATTTTTGATTTCTTAATTTTTGTAAAAAAAAGTTTTACAGTATAAAATTTTTTTGTAAATGCAATGTTGTAGACAGTCCATGCTACGTTCCCAGTGATGTTGGGCTTCAAAAATGCATAATTTTCTCGATTTAGTAAGCAAATCACATACGTCCAAGCACCGACACAAATTTTATTTTTTTGTAAGAACATGAGGAATTTTGAGAATAAACTTTCATAATTTCATGAACTGTTGAATTTGGTTAATTTATTTCTCATGGTGTTATCACGAGATGTTATTCGTGGGTCAGCATCCATTAAACGTTTTAATTGTTTTTTCCTCAGCTTAAACTGACGTGGACCATCTTTGTTCACCCTAATTGAAATTTTACAAGACTGAAAAACTTGCAAACCAGATTTGGTGGTGTCTACTGGCAGCAAGGTGCTGGTCAAATCTATCGTGGCTGAAAGTCCTCACGTTGGTTGCAGTGTGGAAGTTTGGAGAGAAAGGTACCAGCTCAGGTAGTGTCCACGCTGTCTGATCAGGGTCAAAATTACGTAAAAACCCTGATATAGCCTTTAAAAGATCGAGCCCTGAAAATGGGGCTAAGTGCTTGGTCATGCTTGGGTGATGATGCTTCCTGCAGTATGGTATTTTCTCCAGCAATTAAAAATTCTCGAACTACTAATCGAATATTAATTTTTTTATTCCATATTTTTCTGTATTTATTTTTTTATTTATTATGGTAATTTCAACTTTTTTACAAAAAAACGTTTTATAAGTTTCACTCTGAAAAACAAAGCAAATACTTGAGTTGAACACCCAAACCTTTGCCTTTGATTTTTAAATCGAGAGATTTTGCGAACGGAAGTTGCAATTAAGAAGCAGCAAAAAATGAACATAAAACAGTGTTCTTATTATAAAAGTTTCCCTAATGATTTTATTTGCTTTTATCGTCGTTCCCCTTAATTTTTTTTAAGGTCATAATCGAATTAAAGGTCTATAAAGATCTAGAGAATTTTAAAGCATTTGTTAAATTGCGCATAAGTAGAATAAATATTGAATAATAAGTAGAATTATTCTTACATTCGCACTTGCCATTTTTTTCAGCATAGTTAAAACTGCAGTCACAAACTTTTTCTCCATAAACATTATAGTGACATCCATTTGAACCGAATCCACAGTCACATTCTAAAACAAAATAAATTCATGTACATTATTTTAATTTGTCAAATTATTGAAACTTATAAAAAAATACAGTTTCATTGTCCTTAGCAAATGATCTTTTTTTAAGTGTACCATGAAATATAATAGCACAGTGGTTAAGGTACTAAGCAATTATTATGAAGAGCCAGGGTTCTTTCTGTGGTGGAGACCAAATAGCAGTTTATCTAGGAAGTAAATGAAGCTACAGTGCAATGCAGATAATGCAGATAACATTGCCACCATCAAGCCGTTGATCTCCAAAATATAAAGCTTTTACCTCAATGATCTTCCTTGTTGACAAATGCAGTGTTCATACTCGTGTGTGACTCGGAGCCTTGTGCCGTTGTGTCAACAATTGCGAGCAGTCGTAGCGAGTTTCCGTTTATGATAATTTTTTACTTTACAACTGTTGTGGTTCAGGGGATAGAGCATTCGCCTCAAAATGAGATGACACAGGTTCAAATCCCAGCGTTGGCTGGTTGATACCAATTTTGCTCCGAGCTCGTACCTACCACAGTGCTGACGCAAAATATCTTCTGTAGTTGACTGATCATGGGTTAGAATCCCCTTGCCGTTGTTGCTAATCATGGGAGGTTTTCGTGGTTTACATCTCCATGTTACGCAAATGCGAATTGGTTCCATCAGAAAGGTCATATTCAATCGTATTAAATAAATTTAAAAGTATTTTACATTTGCTTCTATTTTGTTAAGCCTAGTTAAAATTTATCTTAATATTCTTTTTGCTCTGCGTACGTTTGATTAACAACTAGTTTATTTCAAGTATTAGAGCAAATCAGCATCCTGAATTATGAATTTTTATTGCATCTTAAAAATAACCTTATTGACTCTTACTTGTGTCATATCTTATTGTAAATATATATTTTAGTTTTACTGATGGCCAAAAATTGTTGCAGCTTCTCTACCCCAAGAAGTGAAAATTGGAATAGCAGTTGGGAATAGTGTTATTAGAGTTTCAGTACAATAAAACTATCCTTGGTTCTTGGTGTAAACCAATAAGAGTTTCGTATTGTGTTTCACCAATGTTTGGTAAAGTATAGTTATCACTATTTTTGGTGTTGAGAAATATGAAATTCTCGCTGTACAAAATTTACTTATACGAACTACAACCTTATTACAAGAACAATAGTAATAATTGTATGAGTTTGAGTTGCAGCAAAAAGCATTCTTTTATTATCTTTCTTGTCTGTAGAACCCCAGCGGCAAGTTACTACTGACTGTTCTTAAAGGGTATTTTGAAAATTTTTCAAAAAATAAGTAAAATTTACATTAAGTGTTGCAAATAAATATATAAAGGAAGGAAAAGAAAACAAAAGTTATCATCGGAAGCTAAAGAATCATGACTTAGGAAGATGTACCCTTAATCATTAAAACCAGTTTGATTATCACAGAACTAAAAAAAGAGGTTATAAACAATTATTAGAAACACCCCTTAGTTACATACAGCAATCAAACGGATTCCGTGGTTTTCTATTCTGACTAGCAAACTAGTGATAACTAGTGATGTCTATGAATTGTAAGACATTTCAGTTAATATTCACACCAAATAATGTAGCTTTTACTTTACTCCAAAGTTGTGTAGTGTTAACACTACAGATAACTCTTGATTCTCGGTGCTTAGAAGCTACGATAGTTTCGGATGTAAGAAAACAACGAGTATATTCTTTTACACTACTTTTTTACGATACAGCATAAAGTAAGAATCATTAATTAAGAATGCATAGATATACTAATTCTTAATATAAAATTAGTTTATAAATTAAACAAGCAAGTAGCACTGAGATCACATTCGAATTAAGATTAGCAGCGAAGAAATGGGGAGAAATTATATTGTATAAATTGGAAAATATATATATTAAATACAATTCGCAAATATTTAAAAAAATTAAAATACATACTATAGGAAAAGGCAACAATCATTACTATATTAACAAATATTTATTAACATATAGGACATAATTGGACGCTTAACATATACGAAGTGGCCGTCTGCCCGTACGGTCTGCCTCATCAGGCTTTCATCAGTTTCGCTGCATGGGAAGAATCAGAATGCCTATCTATAAGCACTCTGTTTAGATAAAGGGTTAGGAGGTGCGCAATGATTTGCGTGCGCATAAAGTGGGGAATACGCTTCCTACTATACTGAAAATGTACAATTGAAAACATAAACCTTTTGTAATTGATAGCTTTTGGTTTTTAGGTGTAAAACACAGCGAAAACACCGATAAACTCACTCTATTTCGTACGCGATTATAAACAATTTACTGACGATACCCACAGTATCCCGGAATTGGTGTTTTCGAAATTGAAAATAATTTAAGAATGGTGGGAATGCTTGAGTTTGGTGTAAGCATTCTCATTAATTGGTGTTTAGATTTAGCTACACCCTATAAAGTGTATATGAGAGGTCGATTTGACGTTAACTAGAAATAGTGTTTTTCTTCGCTTAATTTTTTTAGGTTGTTTAATACACAATTCGCATAGGTACTACACCACAGTTTTTTCAAAGCTGCTTTTTCGTTTCTTAATTACTTCAATTTTAATCTAAAATTCTCTAATGTTCATATTATTTTGACTTTGTCCTCAACAAGGATTCTGAAAATATATATCAAAGGCAGTTATTATAGAATACCTCGTGGGAATGTCAGAAAATTTACGTACTTACCCGGTTCATAAAAGTTATCATTTTTCAGTCCAAGTAACAATGCATTTTCAGAATCGTTTTTAGGTGCATACGATCCGTTTTCATTCTTTTCATCTAAAATATCAGTAACATTTTTAGCTTGAACATAAACTTGGTTAAAAAGATTAACAGTCAAAAAGAGTGTGACAAATATGCAGCTCACTACCATCTTTCATATTTTCATTTTAAAAGCATAAATACAAATTGAATTCATTACTAAATTCATGCAAATAATTTAATTTATATTACTGCTAAAAGTGGAAAAAATGCACCCGTTCCATTGCCATGTTTTTTATTAAAAAGCAGTGAAAAAGAAACAGATTGATAAGCTAAATTCTTATCACCTAATCAGGTTGCCAAGGTTTAACAGAAAGAGGAGTTCTTTTTTTAAAATTTTTTTATTAAAAATTGGTTTTACTTTAGAAATTATAAGCGTGACGAATTTTCTAACCATAGCTCAACACCTTTTATTTTAATTATAAACTATGAAACTTATGCAGAGATGGATAACGTTTTTAATAGCAGGGGTATAAACATATTAAAAAACGATTTCAGCATTGTCATAGGACGTACAGTGTGCAATATAAATAAATAAATAAATTTAAAATATAAAAGAAAGGAAGTGTTTATGAAAAAAAATTGTGTCTAATGATATTTACATGTACCAGGGCTCAATCATCATGGTTCGAGAAACTAAATGTAAATATAATTGTAAGGTAAATGTAAATATAATGCTAATTACTTAGTACAGGCTACATTTTAGCTATCGAAATAAACACAAAAACGCACTATCTCTAAACAAACATTCCTGATTCCCTAGCCACAATCTGAAAAATATGGTCCCCTGACTGGAGAGCAATTTAGGGCTTTGATCCCTAATTTTTAATTTCACTTTTGAAGCATTTCGACGTACTTTGAAAATTTTTGAGAGGAATCGAATTTAATTTTTTAAACCAGCTACAAAATTCATTTATTCATTTTTAAAAAAAGTCTTAAGGCGGGAAAATCCGTTCATAAAATCAAAAGTTATTCATGGTATTTTCCATGGTTCATGGTGGCTAGACTTCCGGGTTTNTTACATCCGGCGTTCAGTGGCAGACTACTATTTCATATTGTTTTACAACACATGGCTTTAGCCCTTTTGTGGGAAAGACTTTAAAACAAAACTTACAACAGTTACTTTTCTCAACAACTGAAATTTAGAATAGTGTGATTAAGAAAAATATGTGAACTGTTTGCAATTTCAAATTAATATTGAAATGTACAGGTTTAGAATTTTCTACAGTGAAAAGTTTTCGGAACTTCAGTGTTCAAAAAAGTATACAAAAGCTAGACGTTAAGAACGTATCCAATGAGCGAGCATCGAATTGCGAAAGCAGTTCCGGGGGTTGGCGAGCGCAAGCGAGAAGGGGGCGAAGCCTCCTAGTTTAATTTATATTACTGGTAAAAGAGGAAAAAATGCACCCGTTCCATTGCCATATTTTTTGTTAAAAAAACAGTGAAAAAGAAACAGATTGATAAGATAAATTCTTATCACCTTATCAGGTTGTCAAGGTTTATCAGAAAGAGGATTTTTTTTCAAAGTTTTTTTTATAAAAAATTGGTTTTACTTTAGAAATTGTAAGCGTGGCAAATTATCTAACCATAGCTCAGCACCTTTTATTTTAATTATAAACTATGAAATTTATGCAGAGATGGATAACGTTTTGTAACAGCAGGGGTATAAACATATTTAAATGATTTCACCATTGTCATAGGACACGCAGTGTGTAATATAAATAAATAAATAAATAAATAAATAAAAAATAAAGGGAAGGAAAGTGTTTATGAAAAAAATGTGTGTCTAATGGTATTTACATGTACCAGGGCTTAATCATAATGGTTCGAGAAGCTAAATGTAAATATAATTGTAATGTAAATGTAAATATAATGCTAATTACTTAGTACAGGCTATATTTTAGCTATCGAAATAAACACAAAAACGCACTATCTCTAAACAAACATTCCTGATTCCCTAGCCACAATCTGAAAAATATGGTCCCCTGACTGGAGAGCAATTTAGGGCTTTGACCCCTAATTTTTAATTTTACTTTTGAAGCATTTCGACGCACTTCGAAATTTTTTGAATTTTTTTTAAACTATTCATTTATTCAAGGATAATTCTGGGCAAAAAAATTTTTTTCGTAGTTTTTTATTAGTATTTTTTAATAACAGTCGAAAATATTTTGAATTGTGTGGCATAAATTTTTTTTTTTAGCGTAGAATACAAATCACAGCCTATTCGATAAAACAGTTTTTGAGTAATAAAATTTAAAATAAGTCTTAGCGCGTGAAAATCCGTTCATAAAATCAAAAGTTATTCTTGGTGTTTTCTTCTTCTTTTTTTCTTGACATCCGGATTTTGGTATTTGTTTGTATCACCCAACACCCGCATCTGTTTTATTTAACTTCACAATATTAAAGTTATCCTCAAAACATGAAAATCAACAACAAACATGAAAATATGATAGGATAGTAAGAGTACAATACAGAAAAAGTAGTTTGTTCCAGGGAATAATATTGCCGGGCAATTGAAAAATCAACGTAAGTGCTTCACGATTGATTCCTAAAAAAGTGGTTAGACAACAATTTTCCTTTCATTACTAACACTGTGAATGCTAAAACTGAGAGCCAGAAAACTAGCAGAACAAAATTTATTTCCGAAAAAAAAAATTTCTTGTAATAAGTAGCTTACCAATGCAAAGATGCCAAATATATAAAAATTTCAAATTTGAATTTTTTTTCGCTTGCGTTAGTTTTTCAACTGCACGGCAGAAAATTAAATTCTGCCGTGCAATTGAAAAACGCCACTGTACGCCACTGTATTGATTTAGCGTCAAATAAATGAGCTAAATCTAATAATTTACTTGTCTGGAAAAGTAAGGAGGAAGTTTCTATTCACTCTGAACGATTCTCAATAAATTTACGATGAATCGAGGGGGCTCAGGCTATAGAGCGCTGGCCTCCAAATGAGGCAAACCGGGTTCGAATCCCAACAATGGCTGGTCAGTACGAATTCCGCACCTTTCTCTTACCGACCACAGTGTCGACGTAAAATATTCTCAGTGATGAATGAGTCATGAGGTAGAGTCTCCTTGCCATCAGACTAACCGTGGATGGTTTTCATGGTTTTCCTTTCCATGAAACGCAAATAAGGGATAGTTTAATCAAAAAAGTCTTTCCTGGAAGGCAAATTTCCCCCAATACTCGGCATTTCCTTGTCTTCTGGATTGGGTTCAAAATTACAAGGCTATAGAGTTGAAGACAAGTAGTCGTAAAATCAATAATTGGGTCTGCCGTTCAATGACGGTTTTAAAATGAATCAAATTTACGAATTCTTACAATGGCTTAGTGGGAAAGAGTGCATATCTCTAAACGTACTGAACCAGATTCGAATCCCAAAGATGGCTGGTTGCTACGAATTCTGCTCCCGATTCATAAAACATCCTCAGTCGTAGACGGATCATGGTTTAGAATCTCATTGCTGTCGCACTGACCGTGACAGGTTTTCGCGGTTTTCTTCTTCAAGTCACGCGCATACGTCGTAGTTCCACCTTGATAGGCAATAGAATATTGATAGTTTTATTCTCAGCAATGGGTTGGCTGTTTATCGCCAGTTACAAATAAATAAGTGAATAAAATAAATTAATGATGATCTCAAAAGCTTACAAAGGTATATAATATTTATTTTGAATATTTATATTCAAAAAATAATATTTATATTGAACTAATACCAAAACTTTACTGAAACTTTCATCGAGCTAAAGTTAGATAAATGCAGATGAGATTCCCGATATGAAGTACCAGCATAATAACGAACCACAATGTAATTTTATACTTACGCAAACTATGAAAGCTCTTATTTTCAAATCCTAATGATGGCGCTTTTTCAGAAGAAATCCTAATTGTTTGCGATGCATTTTCGCTCTGCTCATCAAAAATTTTGGAAACGTTTCTCGCCCGAATAGAAACTGAGAAAACCAAATTTACTGTCATGAAAATTACGGCACATTTATAAAACTCAATCATCTTTTAGCTTATTTTCTTTAATGAGTGAACCCACACTGCTTTCACCACCATTTAAAAGATATAATTTGTAAAAGATAATAAAAATCACCCACTTTATTTTCATCCTTTTATTGAAATAATAACTCCATTAATGAAATGAGAATGAACGCAAAACGATAAGAACGCTTTGTTATCTTTTTTATCTATTCGTTACGGCATGTGTCACCAATGTGAACAAATTGTTATTTTTCATGCTATATATTGTTGCCGTGAAAGATGGAGATCTGGAGAATGTCGACTTTCACCTGCGAATGTCAACAGTCACCAAACCAAAATTGATTTTAATTTATTTATTGATATTTTAATATTCATTAGATAATTTTATAACCGTTTAGGATAGATTAAAAAAACAGAGCAGGGAGTTTCGGACAATGGTAATTAACCTTAAGTACATCAGTGTAAGGAATACCATCAGGCATGCGTATACCTGACAATGATATTTAATCATAAAATACATTAAGGTATAGAATACTGGTTATTATCCCCACACTTTCATTGTATTCGCTGTACCACATAGCCTAATCAGTTATAAAAATAAGGAATAAATATTTAAATATCGACGAAGAATTTCATTTCAAATCAGATTTAGCAAATATTTTGGACATTTACCAAAGCAAATATGTGATTGTAAACATTTACTGATGAAAGTCGACAGTCACCAATTTCGGCCTTTCACGATGACATACATTTAGACATTCATAAAGAGAACATGTGATTGCTGACATTCATCGATGAAAGTCGACAATCACCAGTTTGGGCTTTTTCAATAACATATATAATAATAAATGAAAGAGTTCGTGCGTCTTCGTTATTTGTGTTAGGGACCTAAAATTTGGAAGGCAAATGAGAAAGGCAATTTTAGTTTTCGTTCCTAAAAAGTTCTCAAAAATTTCAATTAGCACCTTCGAGTGGGAGACGCAAAAAATGCGGGCAATTTGCCGTAAGTCCTCTTTTTTCGCCCCTTTAAACATAGTTTATATTTATATAGAGTCAATGCACAATTTATCTCAATCAAATTCCAAAACTGGTACTTCCTTTTTAGCGATGGAATTCGTATTTTATTCCATAGGTTTTACCTCACCTCCGTTCTCGGAGGACCATTTGACCAGTTTAGTTAGATCAATAGCTCACAATAATTGGACTGTATTCTCTACTCATTTATTTTGTACCAGCATTACAGACTCGCTCGTGAACCTGTTACACGTACACATACACTGCTGCTTCAGCACTCAGTTCTACAATTGAAATTCAATTCGCGCTTACAACGCAATCTATATGTTGGATGGGAATTAACAGATAGAAAAAACTTTATACAGTGCACGAAATTGGAGGGTGCGTCCAACTGGACTGACTGGAAGTTAGAAATCAACTCTTTATTAATCCTTAATGATTGTGTTGGAATTTTGGATGGCTCTGTTGTAGAACCGTCGGTACCTGTGAAAGACGCCAGCGCCGAGACGGTCGGCGAGCACAACAAAGCTCTCGTATCCTACACAAAGACGAATGCCGCAATAATTATTCGATCAAATGTATCAGCGGATATCTTAAATCTAATTCATATGCACGGGAAATATGGAAGGGGTTGCTGAACAACTTCGACAAAGTGTCGAGTGTAGAATTGGATACTCTCCTTCAGCAATTTTTCACTTTCAAAATAGAGAAGGGTGAAGATGTTATGAAATCTCTCGCACTTGCAAAGCGAACAGAAGACGAGTGGAGAAGGGAAGTTACCTCAAAATCTGCCCCATGTCGAGCATTCTATCGTTTCTTCTAGATGATGAATACCCAAAGCTGAAAAGTCACCCGAGAGACTGATGGAACAAATAAAGATGCGCCTTCGAAGGCAAAGTGTGTGCATAAAAGAAGACGCCACAACAGCGTATGTAGCAAACGATGGGAAGAAATGGACGAAGGGGACAAGGTCTCAAATGGCGAGCCAATCTCAACCTTCAAGAACTAAGGGTATGAGTAAACTTAGTAAGGCCAATGACGGCGTGAAAAGCTTTTCGTGGCAACTGTTTCCGGTGCAATAAGTCAGGGCACATGGGAAAATCTAGTCCTGATTTTCCAGACAAGCCAAAGACGTCAGGTAATAAAACCGAAACTTTTCTTACAACTACTCATTCATTGTAGTGCATTTATTTGCCAGGATGACAGTAGCCAAAATGTGTGGCTCAAAGACGATGGAGCTACGACAACATCACAAATTCAGCTGAATATTTCAAGACGTATCGTCATTTTGACAAGCCAGATAATAGTAGTTGGTAACAAACAGACAATACCAGCGTATGGCTGACATGTGAGAGTCTTGCAAAAGTCTATTGAGCTCAGTGATGCATCGTATGCACCAGATATCAGCAAAAATTTACTATCAGCTGGAAAGGCGATGAAAGGAGGAATCTCAAACTTTGGAGATTCAGATGACATGGTTTGTCGTTTTTTCCGAAAAGAGAACCCCGACAATGTACTTTTAGAAGCTCCATGTTCATCAAGTGGACTGTTTGAATTACATACAAAACCGGTCAAGCCTGAAGGTGGTTCTGCTGCTTTAGCTTACCTGTATATGTCTAAGTATGTTGTTTTTAGCATTAAACTCAAAGGTTTTAAAATAATTTTAGTAAGTCATTCAAGTGTACTCTCTTCCCCCAACCATAGCCAAAAACATAAACCTGTTTTGTTCAAGTACAAATGATACGAAATTGATTATTATTATGTCAAGATAATGGATCTATGATAATATTCTAATGATGAGAGAGAGTTAAAAGTTTACCTAGAGCTTTGTACAACACTTAGGATGTGTTACTTTACTTTCACATTTATTTACACAATAATAGCTAATGACATGACACACAATTTCGGTGTAAAATTGCCGGTCAACAAAGTGATAAAACATTCATTTTCGCTGTAAACTCTTGTCTTAATTATTCTATCTAGTTATTGTCAGCCGATCAAAAGAACTCCCCTCGGCATTCCTCTGCAGCAGTGGCAGGGACTATGATTACGACATTTATCTTTTTTAAAAAGGGTTGCTGGGGACAATATTTAAGCAATGTTTTGACCCAGGTCGGTGCGAAAAAATGAATCCGGGAGAGAGAAACTCCCCTCCTTGAAATGCTCTCTCATGGAACAGAGATGTCAACTGGCACCACTTTGTAAAAAAATATTTTCTAGTGGTAATGTAATTTAAGTTATTTTTAGTTTAGTATTTTCATTTTAAGTAATTTTTTCACCACTACCACTACTAAGCTAAATGACTGAAGAAAGTTAACGAAATGATAAAGAAATTCCTGGAAGCATGTGGGAAACAAATGACATATTTGAAGAAAAAACAAATTCAAGAAAACACATATGTAGTCAAGTTACAGTGAGTAAATTATAGATATTTATTACCAATAACCTACTACAAAGTGATCAACCTAGAGAGGTAAATCTTAATTAAAATGTGTTGTGGCCATTCAAACTATAAAATTTCGGTCAACGTAGAGAGGTAACCTTTGAGGTTCTATTGTAGTTCTAATGAGCTACGAGTTCTTCTTGTCCCAGTGTGAGGAAAAAAATCTCATTTCTATACACAAGTTCAGTGCAATGTTAAAAGCGAGTGACGCAAAATTTTTTTATTGCAGCCACCAGATCAGTTAACTTTTTTGTGTTACAATATTCAAAAACAAAAGCACACGAAATTACTTATTTTTTAGCCAAACAAGTTTGCACTAACAACTATGAAATCATCACCTCAAACAAAAATAGGCAACAATTAATGTAAGGAAACTCTTGATTGCGTCGATTTCGATGAATTATGCGTCCAAATCTGCGCAATCGAAAAAATATTCAGCTAGTTTTGTAACATACTGTGTTTATCTTTTTCTTTAGTGGCGATGAAAATATTTGTCTGTCTAGAGGCATGAGAGGCGGTTAATTTTATTATTTAAGAAGACTCGTGCAAATATTTAATTTTTTTCGCATAAAAGTTGCTAACTAATTAACTTCGCTACATCATTTAATTAAAAAAAACACAGGTTGCATATACCAATAGAGTTCTTTGTTTTCTACTACTTGGCAAATTTTCATCTATGGGAACTCTCGAATCAGAACTTAACCACTTCAGACTATAAAAATCGTTTGTAGTGGATTTATTCTCTGTTATACTTCACCTGACTTGGAGCTTCATCCCTCTTCAGTCTATGAAAAACATTTGCAGTAAATTATCGGTTATACTTCACCTGAATTAGAACTTAACCCCACTTCAGTCTATGAGAAACATATGCAGTAAATTATCTGTTATACTTCACCTGAATTAGAACTTAACCCCACTTCAGTCTATGATAAACATTTGCAGTAAATTATCTGTTATACTTCACCTGAATTAGAACTTAACCCCACTTCAGTCTATGAGAAACATTTGCAGTAAATTATCGGTTATACTTCACCTGAATTAGAACTTAACCCCACTTCAGTCTATGAAAAACATTTGCAGTAAATTATCGTTTATACTTCACCAGAATTAGAACTTAACCCCACTTCAGTCTATGAAAAACATTTGCAGTAGATTTATTCCCTGTTATACTACTCCTGAATCGGAACCTAATCCCACTGTGGTCTATGTGAAACGTTTGCAGCTAATTATCTGTTATACAACTCCTGAATCGGAACCTAATCCCTCTTCAGTCTATGAAAAACGGTTGCAGTAGTTTTTTTCTCTGCTATACTTCACCTGAATTGGAACTAACCACTATGAGAAACGTTTGCAGTAGATTTATTCTTTTACACTTTTAAGATGAGAAGCGTATCTGATATTTTAACCTAGGCAACCATGAGAAGGAATAGAAGCGTGTGAAAAAATATTTTTAATTCAAGACTTGTTATTTCGGATAACATTGGCATTGTTATTTTTTTAACATATTTAACACATTTTTTAACATTTTGATTAAAGATGGTGCAGCGATTTTTAGTGGTTTCAGCAAGGTGATATAAAGTGTTGTTACGCTTTTTCTTTTTCAACTATAACCTTCTGAGAATTAAAAAAATGAAAGATATCAAATTCTTTTTTTCATTTCTAATAATTTATTGCATTTTATGACTTAGACAAATATGAGTTTCTTAATTGTTCAAACAGATCCAAACAGTGATGAGACATACTTGAAGCAAGCT